CAGAAAGAGAGATACCTACACACAAACACGGACACACATTGCAAGGTAAAAATACTGATACATAGTGCAAGGTAAAAATAGCCAACATGCCTCTCAGAACATGCACTGTAAAAGTTGGAAGAAATATTTCTTTCAATTGAAACAATCAGAAGGCAGCATGCAAGGTAGTCCTTGAAGGATTGGTGGGATTTATAGATGGGAGAAGATTTTAAACAGGTACAGCAGGGGCAAAAGAAGTAGGTAAACTGAAAGCAGGCCCTCCAGATAAGGCCAGTGTTAATTAAATTTAAAGCAACTATTTCCAGTATGAAAATACTCAAAACTAGCTGTACCTGAAGTTATGTATCATTTCAGTTCAGTAATGAGAATTTTGCATCTGTATTTATCACCTTAAATCACACACACACACACACGTTTTATAATATAAACAACACTAAGTTTAGGTGAGACCATTACATTTGTTTTCCAAAAGCAATGAAATACAATTTCAAAGATCTTTGAAACCTTGCTTTCCAGGAAACAGAGAAAGAATTGAAAAATCACTTGTGTGGTACAAAAATGGCAATGTTTTAAATGCAACATCTAAAATCTCAGAACATAAGGTAGATGAGAAAGTGATATCAACATCACAGTATAAAGTAAATTACAGCACTATTTTTAAACTAACCTATTCTACTGTTTTTCTTGAATATATTATATCCTGCATGGCTACTCTTATTTATTAATTTTCTGTCCTTCTGGAAAAGCACTGTTTTAGGATGTTAAATCACTTGAAAAGTGACAATTATATAATTCAGAGGGTTTTTTAAATCATATTAAAAGTTCATTGTATTTTCAGAAAATCATAAAACTATTTTAACACTCTCTTATCCAACTCAAGGGCAGAGCATCAAAAAAGCAATTACCAAGCTAACCAGTACATGCTATTTCTAATGTTTGCTTTTTCCACTTTCCTTCTTCAGAGTCACTTTTCATTATTAGGTTTGGTTGCCTAACTGGAGTTTTCTCCATGTGGCCTGTGGAATTGTTTGTACTCTATCCCTGCCCTAAATGGCAGCTCGATGCAATGAAGGGCAAGCAAATCCAGGCAGTGGAAGTAGAGAAGGAGAATGATGACACTAAGGCACAGCATGAAAAGAACCTTGAAGGTATTTTTCATTGGAAAGCTACACATGATGGGAGAACTGCAAAGGGATCATTGTTCAATAAAGTCCTTTCCTTTACTGTTTTAAATTCCACAGGATTCCCAGTTCTCTGAATCCTACCTGCACTTTCACATGTTCGTGCCTTTGTTTGGGAGGCCCATTCTGTGTCCCCAACTCACGTCTGTGGAATTCTCCCCATCCCCCAAGACTCAGTCCAAAAGAAGCCCCCACGGCCTTGCCCTGCTCCACTTTGCATTATGAACCATTGTACCCACGTTGTAAACTCTTTATTTAACCTGAGTTTTACAAACTTGCCTAATCTTTCCCATCATAACCTGTCACAGTGCCCTATGCATAGGAGGCATTCAAGAAAATTTTCATGGGTTTAGCATATTTACCACAAAATTGGATCAAATGAGGCCAGAAATATTAGAGATGCCATCCATAATCAAGATATGGAGAAAAACAAGCCATGTAGATATCCAGAACAACTCAGGAACAGTTTTACCAGAGTCCACGGGCCTACAAGGGCAGAGCTGGGTCTGTGTCATGGGAGCCCCGGCTCAGGGACTGCCCTCCCTGCAGCGCATCCCCAGCTTACCACCCACAACTCCCTAAAACAGCGGTTCTCAACATATGGGTCGCGACCCCTTTGGGGGTCGAACGACCCTTTCACAGGGGTCGCCTAAGACCATCGGAAAACACATATATAATTACACATTGTTTTGTGATTAATCATTATGCTTTAATTATGTTCAATTTATAACAATGAAAATACATCCTGCATATCAGATATTTACATTACAATTCATAACAGTAGCAACATTACAGTTATGAAGTAGCAACGAAAATAATTTTATGGTTGGGGGTCACCACGACATGAGGAACTGTATTAAAGGGTCACGGCATTAGGAAGGTTGAGAACCACTGCCCTAAAAGCAGCTTTAGACTCAGCTGCTCTCCAGGGACACCTGCCTTCACCTCACAGGAAGAGCTAGCACCACAGGGCTTAGGAACAGCAAAATGAGTCCCGTGTAAGGACCCCTTAGATCTCCCTGCAAGAACAAAGTTCCACCATGGGAGGCTTCAGTGTCTGCCTCTCCCACTTCTTCCCCCAGAAACAGCAGAGGTAGGTGCTCTCAGGGTGCTTCTCATTTTACCTTGCTTTATGACTAAAATGTGCATGAAACCAAACGGAAAACAGACGTCTTGCATCACTGTGGAAAATTGCCTCAGTCTCCCTCTATCGTGTAGCTGATGAGATTCAACCCAGGTGGCCTATTCATCTTCATATTTTCTCTTATAAGCTCAAATAAGAAATGAACCTATTCAAATTAACAAAGGTATTTGTGAAAAAAGCTAAAGTTGCTGTGAGAAGACCTAATACTAGTAATTTCTTCCTTAAAAGACTACACACATTCCCAACATGTACTTTTTGCTTTTTTGCCTGTTCTGCATAAAGTATTAGTATATAGCAGCGATGGCGAACCTATGACACGCGTGTCAGAGGTGACACACGAACTTATTTTTTGGTTGATTTTTCTTTGTTAAATGGCATTTAAATATATAAAATAAATATCAAAAATATAAGTCTTTGTTTTACTATGGTTGCAAATATCAAAAAATTTCTGTATGTGACACGGCACCAGAGTTAAGTTAGGGTTTTTCAAAATGCTGACAGGCCGAGCTCAAAAGGTTCATCATCACTAGTATTATAGCATTTTGTGGGCACATGAACACATATACACATATGGATGACTACTTAACCTACTTTAAGAAAATGTAGTACACAAATGTGTGTTCTGAAATATAAATTTTAAATGAGAAACATTCACATTTTTAAAATCCTACAATGACTCTTTTGGGAGAAAAAAATAAGACCCACTTACCAATAAATATGATTCCCTTACTACATATACTCAAGCAACTTCTTAAAATTACAGGACTTGGGGACCAAAAGTATCTTACATAAAGCAAGGAAGACAGTACTGCGACAAGCAGCCACTCTAACATGAAAAGCCCGAAAGCCATGGTCCATGGGATGACTGAATCCAAGGACTGAGCAGTGAACTGTTAAAGCGGTAAGTGACTCCAGGGTGCAGAACCCTATCTGCTTGGCAGGGGTACTCACCCAGGGGACACTAGGAAACCATGTAAATACGAGCATGAGTTCAAGTTCAAGTGCTGAAGATGTCTGAGGTTTCTATTGAAAAGCACAGCACGAGCTCAGGGAGGAAGGACATCATCTCAAGTATGCAAACAGCTGTGTCAGTGCAGTGAGCACCACACGGGAAAATAAATGCATTTCCAGACCTGGACGCCCAGAGCATGTCAATCACACACTAGGTAGGAAATATATACATAGACATAGACATGGCATATACATATATTCAGGACTGTAAGAAGTTCCCAAAGTACTGTGAAATTAAAATATATATATATAACCCTGGCTGGTTTTGCTCAGTGGATAGAGCGTCAGCCTGTGGACTGGAGCGTCCTGAGTTTGATGCCAATTGGGGACACATGCCTGGGTTGTGGGCTCAGTCCCCGGTGGGGGGAGGGGGTGGGGGAGGTGCAGGAGGCAGCCAATCGGTGGCCCTCTCTCATCATTGATGTTTCTCTATCTTTCCCTTTCCCTTCCTCCCTGAAATCAATAAAAATATATTTTAAAAAAATACAAAATATATCGAGTCCCACAACTATTTCCAGACTTCACCCTCCCTGCAAAATACACTTTGTTTCTGCACCGTCCCTGGAGCTGGTGCGTTTTCTTCGCGGCTTTTTGAGGACTCGGTTTATTCCCATCTAATTGCTTCGCG